ATTCACTGGACCCTCACCACCCCTCTGTGAGCTAGTGCGTTATTCATCATTCTGTATTTAGCTCTGTGGCCACAGAGCTGAAACATGGGATGTAAGCCACATTAAACACTCATTGCAGAAGAGAAAGTGTTAATTAATCACAGGATCCACATGAATTACTGAAAGTAGGTAAAGTGGCATTCGTCACAGGTCTTCTAACCTTTCCTGGAGGTCAGTGCTATCTTGATTATTTTAAATAGAAGTGCCTCAAATGTAATGATTTTTATGTGAGCTAACTCATTGTAGCTTATTAAATAATTTTTTTCACCTAGGGGTTTGCACCTCTCTAAAGTATCACCTTCTACTTTTGCTTATACCAGCCAAAGCTTCAATCTGCTGGGTAATTACGGCATTGTGGTGCACCAGAGGCTAATTAGTAGACCAGGTCTGTGGGGGAAAGGAGAGGATGCTTCATTAACCTCCACTGATCTGCACAGTGCTACCGTGAGACCACACAGAGAAACCCAGGTAAGCATTTAAAAACCATAAAAGTGAGGCAGATGCTGCAAACAGATACTGAACACTCATTGGGAAACAAGAAGTGTGAACATTTAGTCATAATTTGATGTTCCATCAATGAGACATGAATTACTAATGAGGCCCTGGATCCTTATGATACCCATGCGCTATCGAGACAAAGCTTATCTACCCAACTGTACCAGAGGACATGTTATCTGGTCGAATCTCAGTAGCTCTTGGCTCTAGCTTCAGTATTTAACCCAGGGGAGTTCCAGTGGTATTGATTTTCTCACCTAACTCTTGGCCAGAAAGAAGCACATTACAAGACTACTGCTGGTAGCCTTAAAAAAGACAACACGTACTGACAGTAATTTGTGTAAAACATTGCAATAATTATTTTTAAGGAAGAAAAATGTTACCATTATCAAAACAGAGTCTAACTGCCGGAACAATAACAAAACTCAGAAAACCCTAATGTCAGACGAGTACACAGCGAAAATACTCCTGCCCTGAGATCTATTTTTGTTTGTAGTGCTCTCTGGGGAGGAGACTTTCCTCTATGGCTCCAAAAAGAGCAGGTGGTTAATCAATTATGTGTTATCTCCAACAGCAACAGTCTGTTGGATCCAGACAGACCCACCCATACGCACAAATGGACACACGTCAGCATAGGCAAATCGACAGGCTGACACAGTAGCATACAAGGTGGGCTGACCGGACAAATACAGGTGGTTCAGAAGACAGTCTGACAGGAACGGGCTGCACCACCCACAGGAAACACACGAGCTGCCCGCCTGTAGATAGCACTCACCTGCCAGCATAGAAACATTTTAATCATTTGACGGCCAATTACTCTGGAGCCAGGCAGAGCAGAACAGAAACTCACACTTCACTTCCCCTGCACTCACAGATGGCCGTGCAGGCTGGATCTAAACTGCCTGTCTTCACTCTACCTGTCGGCTCAATCCTAGCACAGGTTGGTTTTGATATGGGTGAAAAGGCAGGAAAAATGAAAAGAGGGCAGGGAATATCCATTCATTCATCCACCATTAATCAAAAAAGGATATGACCATAAAAGGACATGCCCAATCTTCCCATCCAGGACTTCATCACTGTCTCATTCTCTCTGACCCAAAACAGTCACCTGCCCCTCAAAGCAATTTCCATTTCTTACACTGTTGTCAAGTGCATCCCTTTGCCGGACCTTGATTTATACAAAATGTATTCCTTATTTTGTTGTTAACCTGCACTGAAAAAAGAGTAAAAACATAGACCCTGGATATGTAATCTTCCTTTCATTTTTATAAAAGGTAGGTATGTGGTGTTACTGTACGTTTGACTGCAGTAATACTACCCCGTGTCTGTATTTTCTCTTTTTAAAATTAAAAAAAAAATACTCATGTCCCTTGTTTTAGTGAAGACCTGAGTTTTGAAGTAAACTCTGCAGACTTAAGACTAAAATCTAAAACAAGAAAAGGACATAATTATTGTATATTTTTGGTAACATTTATGGATTTACTTTTGCATACCTTTTCCTGCCATTTTTGTTAGAAATGATTCCATCATTTGGATTCATCACAGATAAAAGTTAGGATTGGGAATTTTCATTTGGATAAATCATGACAAATAACAACCATGACTAAACATGATTAGCCCTGATTAATCACAGATAATCAAAATCATAAGTAATCATAATAGCAATTTTGGTCAGGATCTGTTATGTAATGATTTTTTTTAAATATGAAAAGTTTTGGAAACAGTAGTGTATGCCAAATGTCCTTTCCTGATATACACTCCCCTGGAATTATCATGAAAAATGAGCAAAAAAGTGATTATTTCTTTCGATATTTCTGTCCTTCAGAGGTGCATTTCATGTGACAGCAGTCATCCATCACATTTTCTGGGCCACTGGCCAGAGCTGGAGCCATCCATGTGAGTGGAGGTGTGAGCTGTGTCCTGTTCTCTGACCCACTAAAATACTGTACAAGTCAGTCCATCTCACACAAAGTGGGCCCCACAGTCTACATCCTCTAGGCTTTGTTTAGACCTAAAATGGAGCGGTGTTAAAAAATTCAAGAGCCTGTACTGGAGTAGAGCAAGTCTACAAGTAAAAAGGAAAATAACGCATTTAATGAATTGAACTGATACGAGCTGATTTTTTCCACATCAACTGTAGAATATTATCACAGTGCAAATGTACACTCTAATTTGAACTACATAAAATGCAGAATTATGTAAATAACAATAAATGGGCAATTAATTAGGAACATCTCTGTACTGCATTTACAGAACACAGAACTGTTCTTAGTATTTCTGACAAAGATGTTGGAGACAACAAGTCGCCAACATAGCACACTTAGTGCAGTTGACAAAACTGCACTTCCACAATGTGAATCCTTTGTTCCTCCAACTCCCAAAAGTGCTCCTCTGGATTGAGGTCTGCTCTGTTCTAAAAGCACATTGAGAGGCGATTAGAGCTGTTCCAAAATGGTTTGTTATTTCGTCAGCAGCAGTCATTGGAAGAAAAGTACAGTGTGGGATAGACATTTATCCTTCACTCCAGCCCACCATCAACCCCTGATTCATTGATACAAGGCAGGACGGATTCAAGCTCGACATGTTATTACAGCAAATTCCGCCTCTATCTTCAGAATGCTGCTGCAGAAACCACTACTTATCAGACCAGGCAACAATTTCTGCTTCTTTGTTGTCTATTTCTAGTGAGTCTGGGCTAATTGTAGCCCCATTCCTGTGTGGTACTTTGTAGCCTTACCTAACTGCTTAGAACTTCTACAAGTTGCATGCATCCTTGTTGTTTTTTCTTCGAGAAGAGAATTGCTGCCTAATGGGTATGTCTCTTCTTTCTACCATTCGTTGTAAACACTTCAAGTTGTTGTTTGGTTAAAAAACACCTGGCACAAACAACTATGCCACAAAGTCATTTCATTTTTTTTCCATTTAAGCTACATCACTAAGTCTAAACCATGTCTACAGGTCTAAATGAGTTGATGTCAAGTGAGGTTGATTAGACACTGCCTTGTTAGGTACTGCCATTTAGTGTCTTCCACAGATTACTCATGAATAAGCTCGACAGAATTAGGTCATGGACTGCTTATACATTTATTACAACAAATGATGCAGAAATTCCGTTTTTGTGCCAGGCGTTCTTTCACTGCTCTGCCTCTGTATTGTCACCAGTCCTATTCATTTGGGTCCCAAACCACAGCGCTTTTGATGTTCTCAACCTGGCCTGATGTCACTGTCAGCCAATCTGCCTTTTCATCTTACTGTCAGACACAATGTTCCTGATAGCAATGTTAGAAAATAATAGCTATTCTGGTATGAGGGAATGAGGCAGAGGGATGGAGAATGAGGCACAGGGGGATGTCGCTCGTGTTTATCCCTGCGGTTAGCCCTCAATCTAAATCTCTCCTTCTAACTGATGATGAAGCTCTGGGGGACATGTGGCTTTAATGGGAATACCTTTCATTTCCCAGCCTTTTCTTTTACTTGTTTCCTCCCTTTGTTCTTCACTCAGTTTTTATCTTTTCATGCAACGTTCTCCTCCTCACACTCTTCATTTCTATGTGTTTTTCTTGAATAGTCGTTCCTTTATGAGAATTTTGTTGACAGCCAAACCTCCCTCTTACAGCGGTAAACTCCACAAGCCGTCTCTCACAGCCAGAGTCCAGCTTTTACACCAAAGAGCTATCAACGCCAAACCAGCTGCGAGGAATTTCGGCTGCTCACACTTTGCTCACTGCTTATCTTTAAAGCCCAACCATTTGAATCAAACCGTCCACGTGGCAACAGTGGGGTCCATCATGTTAAGACGTCATTTAAAAGTAATTTATCACCGTAGCGACATCGTTAGCTAAGCTCTACACATCAAACATGAGCTTCCCCTCGTTTAGTCGCTTGACACTGAAGCGAAGACAAATGATAAAACAATGAGGTGATCAAGTCTTTATACGTGGCATTTGTTAACTACACAAAGTTACATGAAAATGTGTTTTTTCTCCTTCTCTCGTAGTTGCTCTCTTCAAAGGTCACATCTGCAGATCATCTTAAGTCATTATTCCTTGTCTCCTCTACTATCATCACTTCGCCCTTGAAAATTAACAGTAGTTTTTTAAATGTTTGCTGGCTGCTAGCTCCATCTCCAACATCACCTCTTCCATCTTACCCTAGACATGTGCAATGATTGTAACCACATTATCAAACTTATTACTAAACCACTCAAGTTCTGAGGGCTGTATCCGGCCCACCACACAATAACGTTTTTTATTTCTTACTATTACTGAATTGTGCTGTCTTTGTTGTACTGTTCACGAGGAGCGTAAATTTACATTATCACATCATGGACCTGGAGAGAAGTTGTAACACCATGGTTAATGGAGGACGGGGAATGCAAATGTTAAAAGAAGAAAATGTTTCTGTAAAGGACTGGGAGTCTTTGTACCAGCGGGTAAAGCAGCATAATAAATAAGTAGAGCTTTTACCTGGAGGCAAGCAGGCGCCCGGCCATGTGGTTTGTTGACGTCCACAGCCACAAGCTGCCATCCTCCAGCAGTGTCTTCATGAAACATCTGTGGCACAAAGACAGTATGTGAGAGGAGGGGGTAAACTCACTGGACAAAACTCGAACCCACACTTTTACCCTACGGTCAAACTGTCAGAGAAATATGAGGCCACCAAAAAGCTGAAAGCATCACTCTCAAAAATTCACAGCCTCACAATAAATTGGTAGGAGTGTTGCCAAAATACAGTGGGAATGCCTGAGGACGAAAAACCAAGGACATAAAACACGACACCACAGCAAAGACTTTCAAACTCAAAGGGCAATTATTTCACTCATAAACAGCAAAAGTTTTTCAAAACATACATAATAGCTATTTTTTTGCTAACCATCAGCTATTGTTTTACTCATTTTGATTGACTGTAATCACCTTTCAGGATACTTTTGTAAATAATTGTTTTAGTAAAATTGTCTTAATTGTATTTACATTTTTCAAAATGTTTTATTATGTTTATACATTCATCAGGTATACAAACATTTGAAAAGGTAAGTTCTTTTCTGGTAAGTCCATTATCTTGCTTTGCTAATACAGTGTTTAGCTTTTTTTTTATCTCCGTATGGATTAATTTAAGCTATTACAGCTAGCTCTGTTTTTTTGTGTCAGCTTTTAATAAACCTACATAAGCTTTGTATCTGAATTTTATTTTTTGAGGATGATCAAGTTTATTTATGAAGTACATTTACAAATAACAGAAAGTGAGCTTGAGTGCTTTACAACAAAAATGGTGTAAAAGAAATGGGATAAAAAATAGATTTTGGTTTGTTTAAAAGAAAAAGATAACCTTTCAGTTTAGATGAAATAGTGAAAGGTCAAATTACTCTCCACAGCACACAAAGCTCTGGCTAGAGCTGTTTAATTTAGCCTCTTTAACAGATTTAATTCTTTATTTAGAGAAGAAAAATCAATCATTTAAATACATTTGTTCTCCAGAGAATTTAATTATAAATCTGCTTATCAAAAAAATTAAAGGGCCTGCTTCAATGACACCAAATTGGATTATTTGATTGTTGTTTTATCAACGTTTCTTAAAAAGTCTAATCTCGTTTAAAAGCCTCAGTAAACAGGAGGCAGGAAAGTCAAGCAGCGGGAGGTGGAGGATGGACCAAGAATGAGCCGCCAGCCTCCGTCTCCAGGGAACACAAAGAAGGCATCATATTGTTTCAGCTTCACCGCCTGACAATTAAGTGTTACACCACAGCTAATTAGTTTTCCCTCCAAAATACAGATTAGAGCATGACGAGGTCTATGAGGATCAATGATGATAAAAATTGAGAGTTTTTTTTTTGTTTGTGTTCGAGGTCACAGAGGTATATGCCAATAAGATCTGGTATTCAGTTTGTTTTTTGCATATTTTAAGGCAGTGTTTCTAATCTGGACGGACTACACCTGTCAATTACACGGACAGTGGTGGCTTAGTGGCTTAGGAAAGAAAGGAAGGCACTAAGTATATGGTTCCTCTGGGGTTCAAACCCAGGACCTTCTGCTTCAGATCCTGGGTTTAAGTCAGACGAGTAATCGCAACAACTATTTAAAAAAATTGAAATGAAAACAATATTTGATAATATATTTACTTTTTCGTATGTGTTCCTAATTCTGACGCACAGCAAACAACGCAAGTCCAGAGAGTGACCGCCAATACCTGTGTTGTAGCAGTTGATGTAGTGCTGCTCCTCGACCCCCACATCTGCTGGAACTGAACTCTGATTTCAGCAAATGTCTCGATGATGACGGCAATAAACACATTCTGGTGAAGGGAAAAGACAAAGGGTGGTGACAGTGAGAAAAGATTGTGTCAATTAGTTGAGGGTTCTTGATATTAAAGGCTCTACACCAGATGCTGTATCGTAGCAGGCAATATATGTACAGTAGTCAAGACAGGCTCTAACCTTTACAAGCCACGCCAGGAAGAAAATGAGAGTTATAAAGTAGAAGTATGAGCGCCACCGAGGGAAACTGTCAATGGCTCTGTACATGAGGAACACCCAACCCTCCTGTGATGCAGCCTCATACACCGTGAAGATACTTGTACCTGTAACAAAGGGAGAAAAATCAGAGTAAGAAAGATGTACGACAGGATAAACACAGCAGAGTGTTTCTGGAAAACTATGAGCAATTAGATCAAGAATGTCTCCCCTGTCACAGAGGTTCTTTCTGAAAACTAAGAGACTTCAAAATACAGAATCTCAGTGGCTATAATGACAGGAGCTTTAACAGCTCAGCAGGTCATTAATCTGATGGACTGTTCTTTATTGCACATTTTTGTCTCCTTCACTGGTACATTTAGTCAAATGGAGATAATAAAGAGACTTGGATGAGCTTCAAAATGAAAATCATGGCTTTTTCTTATTAACGCAGCCATAAGGAAATGAACTATGGGTAATTTAAACATTTAGCTAAGGATAATTTCACCACAAAAGATATCATCATAGCAGTCAACTGTTATGAGAGAAAAATGTTAACAAAAATTCTGACAGTCAGTGCCTCTCAGATGGATACAATGACAGTTCAGACTAAATTTAAAACTGTATCTGATTACTCAAAGTACAATGCCCGCTAAATGGGTTTAAAATCTGTTTTAGTTTGGATACTTGTGGTCTTGTATGTAATTTGTAAACCTACAAGACTTAATTATTTAATAAAGGAACACTTTAATATAGTACAGCCTGGAGTGTGTGTATTACAGAAGCCAAACTGGACTTAAATGTCAACAGTTTGAACTTTCAAAGACTGTAGAAAAATATCACCTTTTCACCTTAATCTTTTAAAGTTAAAAACACAAAAAATATAGAAATGTATACAAATCTAGGACTACATGTTGTAATAGTGTTTAGTATTGTACCAAGTTCATTGAAGCCACTATAACCGAGCTCCTGTCGACTGAGGCCCAGCTCCTCCAGGTCCATGCATTTGAATCCGTAAGGACACTGGTATCCTTCTCCATCAGGGGAACAGTGCGTGTCTGGGATGGCCAAGTTGTTCCAGGACACATTACTGACCAAATAAAGACACATTATGAAATTCTCTGTTAATACTTTTAGCTGAAGAAAAGGAACAGGAACAAAATGCATAACATTGCACAGAAGCGCTGCTCTACCTCGTCTCCCTCCCCGCCTGTCTTTCAGCCACAGGTGATGTTCCAGAAGCACCTTAATTTCTCTAATGAAAATTAATGCCTTTCAAATTGCCTGCCCAGACATTCATCTAAATTGTTTATTAAGGGTTACAGGATCAGAAGGGATAATTTATTGCACTATCACAAAGGGCAATCAGAAGCCTAGTAGTGAATCCCAATAAAGCTAATTACAGTGGGCTGGGTGACATCAATGTGTCTTACCAGATAATTCACCTTTCTTGATGCATAAGGGGAGATAAATTAATCATCAAATGAGAGTCCAAGTACTAATGTGTTATCAGTGTTAGACCAGTCAACCAGAGATACAAACACTGTGACATTCATTCAAAATCGTAAATGTTTGTGAACATTTCATTAGAGCATGCCAAAACCTTTAAAAATCCAAAATGAAAATGATTGCCAGATCTCAAACATCAATAGAAATTTTGTTCGAAGAACGAAGTTCTGATAAATATGTTTGTATTATTTCGTTTTATTTTCCTTTTCTCCATTCAACAAATGAATGGCTGATCAACTGTATGTGAACAGATGCTTTGACTTTGTGCTATCGCCACATATTAGACAGAGATTAAACACATCTGACATGTCTGATGCATTTTACTTTTTCTGTGTGTCATTGGTGACGCAGTGATGGTTGAACGTCCCAAACATCTGAACGCCCAAAATTCCGTACAGAAGCAGAAAAAACAACAAGAAGATGGACACACTCCAGATCTGTTCCCCGGATCGCCTGCAAAGAAAAACAACAACAACACACAGTTGTTCAACGCAACCTAATAGATACATTTTATTTTTTTTGTAAATAGGAAAAGTAACTATTGTACTTAAGAATGTTGGTGATGCGAGAGCGAGGAAGTTCAAAGCGGAAGTAGATTCTAAATGCCCGGATCATGATCAGTGCCCGAGGAATTCTCAGCATTCCCCATGGAGACATCTGATCCACAAGCTCTGCTATTTCAAACACCTGAAGCCAAAGTAAGTGTGTGTGAATTGTGTTTTACACAGAAAACATAAACATATACAACATGGTTTGGGAGATAAATCATGTTTTTACTATATATAAATATATTTTTAAACTCGATACAGAATTAGACTTTATCATGAATATCACTATGTTAGAGTGAATTAAAATCATATTTATAAAACCATGCCTGTGTCTATGTCTGTCTGTTTCTCTTCTCTCCGTCTGTCTTTAACTTTAACTTTTAAAGCAGTTGTGAGAGAACAAAAATGATGAAATACAACAATTAAAATAGCATTTACCTGGAGCACCAGGGAGACCCAGATAAAAAACACCATGATTCCATCGAACATACACCACCGGTCTTTTACATAGGAGTTATCACCCTGTGGACAAGAAAACGAGGCAGACATTACTGGTTAGAGTTACTTGTGCGAATAAGCAAAAAAGCAGGATGCAATAAAAGAACTAATGATATAATTTTAAGTTCATGCCATCCTCCATTTGACAAAAGCTGATGTACTTCAATTAGAACCTTAATTATAACCCTAATTTTAGTCTGCACAGTACGGAAAATGGCCTACAATATGCAGTGTGTGAAGTGCATCGTGATGGAAAAAGCTCTTCCTGTGACAAAAATATTTTATTTTAAATATTTACACACTAACTGTATGATTATGAAAAAAACATCAAACACCCAATTAGTTTTATACATTTAAGAAAAAAAATGTCCAAACTTTAAGCTCCTGTCAAGTGTGTGAACTGTAACAAAGACAGAAGACTTGGTACACACTTAATTACCACTGACACAGAGTGCGTCTGTGAAAAAACTCCAAGGCTGCAAATTTGAGCTTGTTCTGAAACAGTCGACAGATAAGGACCATGTTGATTACACGCTGGCGAGAACAAAGGCCTGCAATTACCTAATGACACTATGTGGATCGTGTCATTGCACAGGCAGATTAATAACTGGCTACAAAAAATAACTTCCATGTGTCAGTCAAAGTTACAAACATGATGCAAACATCCACTCTGGCACGCTCCGTACCCAAACTGTCTGAAACTCTGTCGTGTGACACCTCAGCTGTTGGTCTTTTTATACGAAGTTTCGATATAACTTTCTTTTAGCTATTTCTGAATATATGACGCTTTGAATATTATATATATTATTTTCTTTTAGGATTGGTACGAGTTGTAAAATTATACTGCTAATTTTCTATTTATGTCTTCGTACTGTTTTGTATCAACCACTTCTGCTGCTTCTCAGACATGTTTTTACTGAGTGAGAACCAATTTTCAATTCAATGGTAACATCATAATCTTGAACATAAAAACATCATGCTCGCCAACTAGTTTCTGTGCAAACTACAGTAGTTGGTGAGTTTTAATGCTTTCTAAGTCTAAGACTTTCTTAATAAATTTCTTTGCTCAATTTAATTAACTTTGGCACTTTTGTGACAGGTATAGTACCCCCACCAGTAAGGGTCAAAAAACACACTTGATCTTAGTACTGGCAGCAAAGCAAGATTCATTCATTCTTAAAAAAATCACTTGTTGGATTAGAGATTCTGTCAGTAGCTACCTTGATGATCCCTCTGATGTGCATCTTGGCAATCATCTCGGCCGTGTAGAGAAACATGAGCAGCGTGTCCAGGGTGAACGTCACATACTGAAGCGGAGGGTAATGCTCAAATGTCTTGGGTGTGTTCATACACACGGATATGACACTAATGATGGCACAGGCTCGCAGTAGAGTGTGCACCCACTGGATGAAAGAAAGAACATTTCACACATCAGCTTTTTTGATATGTCTGCCTCTATGTGTGTTTTTTTTTTATTTTGTAGACTCACTGGCTTGTTGATCCAGAAAATGTCAGCACTGTCCGCCAGGGTTTCATCTGGCCCAAAATCAGTCATAGGCTGGGCCTCAACCCGTGAGCTCTGCTTCCTCTTCAGCATGCTGGGGCTTGCTGTGCTATACAGAGAGTGGATCTGACAGAAAGAGAGAAAGGCAGACCACACAGTGACCAAAGCAAAGAGAGGAAAGCGATAAACACTGGCTACATCCAAGTCTGGGCAGTGGGATTATCACTTTAATTTCGCCAATCACATGGATTATAAACTATATAATCTAAATCAAGAGCTTCAAATATGTTAAATATATTACAGCTGAGGCAGTTAATGTGCCTTTTATGGAGACAAAAACTTTACCTGAAATAATAATATTATTTTCTTTTACTTGAAAATAACTATACAGAATTACCAATAAGCTGTGTATCAATAGTGGCTTTAGGAAGGTAAATAATGCTATGTTTGTTTTAGTCTGCTGACTACCCTGACTTGTATTGCCAGTACGATGGTGTGTACTTTCAAATTAAACATGTTTTGCGTTGCTGAATGGCCACCGTGATACACAACGTAGCACACATGGAACACAGGACGAGTGTAGTTCACATCAGAACAGCTACGAAGACTTACCATTATAAAAAAAGAATCACCTCTGACCTACATCATCATCATCATCATACTGAACATCAAGGCACCAGCGGATTAAGCTGCGTAACCTAGTGTGAGCTACGTTGTTGCTTGTTTGTGTGGGTGGGTGCGTTCATGTGCATGTGATAACAGAAAAAATCGTAAAGAACACAAGAAGAAATGACTCTGAATGGAGACAAAGCGCACATACCAAAGGGAAAAGTAAAGCTGAAATTGCTCCAGCACTGCACATAACATGCGATCAGGCATACCCTGTAAATAACACACAACAGTTAGTCAACAGTATGGCTCATATGGTGTACAGTACAATACCCACATCTACAGTACGGTCATAGAGAAAGGAATGCCCACCACGTCTGACATCAAGGCATAAATGCAACACACTCTGAGAGCCAGTGAGTCAGTGAGTGACTTGTGGAGGAAGTAGAAGAGGAGGAAGAAGAAGATGGGGTGGAGCAGGGACCAGAGGACTCACTGTGAGACTCCTCATTGGTGCGTTCATCCCCAGGTCACAGAGGGGTGGAGAGACCAACCAGAGAAAGAGGAGAATTTCTTAGAAGCCTGCAGGTCCTGCACAGTGGTCGTCAGGGAGTAATAGCAGTCATGAGAACAGTACAAAGAGGTGAGAGAAAATAAGAACTCACACAGCGCATGCAGTCACAGAGTCAGAGTTATTTAAATATCAATGCTTAGAAAGCCAACAGTTTTAGGCTGTTGGCTTAAAACTGAAATACAAACAAACACCCAGGATTTACCAGTTCCTGGCATTTTTTTACAACATTGCTTTTTATGCATTTCACTCTAGACAACAGATTGAAATCCTGATATTTTACATCTGTAAATGTGCTTACAGTTAGCTGTAAGTTAACTAGCCAAAATAGTATATTTCCGGGCAAAAGATTAGCCCAGAAATTAATCATGTTCAGTTAGAAAAATTAACCCAGGAAATAATTCAAAATGCCTATAGGGCAGGCTTAATGTTGGCTCCACAGTGTAGTGGTAGCATTCTAATGGAAAATTATACCTTAAACTTTTATGATAGACTTTGTTCAACATTTTCAAGTAGAATGTCAGAAAGACAGAACAATATAATTGCATAATCCTCATTTCCTTTTTGAAGCTCCTACCAAGAAAAGTGTCCATCTTATAAAACCACATGTAGTTAGAAGCAATTTCCCTGTGTAATTGCTACACTTAACATATGCAGATGGAGACATGAGGAAGAGTGAAAACAAAATTACAGAGTCTAAGTGCCATTATGTGGGTGTATAGGTGGCAAAGACCATAATTACATTCCCATTTGGAAAAAAGGGACATGTTCCTCACGGGCAAGTTGTGATCACTGGGCAGATTAATTGTAAGCGAGTGTGTGTGTGTGTGTCAGAGGCTATAAACTTTCTTTGCTTAAGTTTTATTCCTGCGCAAGCTGCAGTCGACTCATCCTGATAATGACTGGCAAAAAGTTCTGTGTTTATGCTGAGTCACTTACAGACAGACTGGTGTAATCGCTTAGTATATCTAAGATGACAATATGTATTACATACACTGTAGAGGGTAAATATATTACATTTTAGTACTATCAACTACTGAAGCTAACTATTATGTTCTTAAATATATATTTTTGCTAATTAATTATTTGACCTTCAAACCTTTACTTTCATAATACCAAATCAGAAAACATTTACTTTGTTTTGTGTTTTTGCTAGAAATTACAAAACATAATAACAAATATGTTTTGTAAGTTACCTGGAAAAAGTATTTGGTTTGTATGTTTCACTTAACTTAAATACTACATACAAAACTGGGTTGTTGACATGCAAAATAAAACAATATTGTTGGTGTAAATGCTGAATCAAAATGCAGTCAACAAGTGCACAAGTCAAGTCCTAAGGTCATTTTATACAACCAAATCTGTCCGACTTTAGGACAAGTAGTATGTCATCGTTAAATGTCCAACACATACATATATGCTGTGCACCTGTCTTAACATTTAAGAGAATATATATATACATATATACATATACACATATAACATATACAGTTTGTCTACATTTAGTACATGTAAAAACAATTATAATAATTATAACCACTCATGGTTGTGGGGGAGTTTAAAGAAAATACTATTTTATTTTTACCAGTAAAATACCAGTACTTACCATTCTATAAACAAACTTCCTACTTTGGAAACAAATACACTTGCCAGCATACCAGGCCCTAAACGTAGCACTTTTAAAAACACAGTCTGGAAATTGTATTAGATTATTAGTATTTCTAGCAACCATATTTACATTCATAGGATTGGATGTAACCTTGTGTTTTTCACTGACAAACACACGAGGCCTTTGGGTTCACCTTCTGTTAAGTGACCCACCTGGACAGCACGACGTCAGCGGCCGACAACAGTCACAAAACCTTATGAATAAAACCTGTGCCTCTCTAAATTACAGTGAAAACATCCTCGTCATAAATCAACGTGACTCAATGACATCAACCGAGGCCAGGTTACTATGGAAACGAGAGCTCAAGATTGGTCAAAATTAGCCAAATGCGGGATGCTTACAACAGTATGACCAGATAAAGGGTTGAAAACCAAGCTCTTGCATTACGTGACAGAGAGCTAGTCCAAATTCGTGTCAAGTAAGCTGCAATATTTCGAGTAAGGCCTACTCCGGTGGATGGCAGCCGCTCCACTTCCTGGAGAGCCGCCATGCTAACGCACAGCTGCACCGAGCGTCCATATCATCCTAAAAAACATAGCCTAAATCCTGACGTTGAGGAACATCTCCGACAGGTGTCAGAGCTGACAAAAACACAAAATCAATCGCTTACGAGAGGAGTATTTGTCTTTATCCGCTGTGGCTCGTCCTGTCCATGACATCAGCTGTTTTTCCGGGTGTATTGGTTTGGTTGGTGGTGGAGAGAGAGGACGGTGGCGCGCGCTCTTGGAAATCACATCCACGGCAACAGCAGCGGAGACGCGCAGCCGTCAGTAACCATGGCAACACTTCCAGGTTCCACAAGCTGCTGCATCATGGCAATATTCACAGCCACGTCTTTTCCCATTTACGTAGCTTAAACTGTAAACAACAACAATAATAAACAATAATAATATTTCTGATTTAAGATTTTCCAAAGGAATGCAAAATTCAAGAAATGTGTCATGGAAATTGCAACAAAGGAAAGGTTTATGGCCTGCTTCAATGTATTAGGAGGCTGTGGGTAGAGGTCAACCACCAGTTAGAAGGTCAGAGTCTGACACACTTCTTTGCAGTTATTTCCAAAGGCAATTCCCCAGGCAAGAACCTTTGTAGTCATCATATTTGAAATTAATCCAAAAACAGGAAGTTCCAAGATACATATTGCCAATAGTGACGACTTCATAAACAAGTTGCAACAAGAAAGAGGTATCCTCGATGTTTAGTTGGTGGGGCCATCACCACAGGACGCACAGTATTTCTTAAAATTCGAAATTGAAAGTAGCACATAAGTGTCCTTGGGTGACAGAAAGGCACCTATAAAATAAAATGTATTATTATTATTATTAAAAACTTTCAAGGACAGCAGCAGTCTTTAAAGGAAATGTCATTAAGTGCTGATTTAAAGAAATCATATACAGTGAATGACTAATTGTGGCAATTTACCTACATTGATTTTGTACGATACTACTACCATAATAATAATAACCCTATATACACATCAAGAGGAAAACTTGATGCAACAAAAGAGTGAGAGAAACTGCCCTCACCAAACTCACAAGAAACAACCAACAAACAAATAACCAATTGATTTTATTTATTTTTTTAAAGAAATTAAAAAACAAACTGGCTGGCAGCTGAGTGTGGTTCCAGCAGGTCTCTGTGAACAGCTGGCAGAAACTGTCTCTTTATGCTGCCAACATCAGAAGAGGACCAATCAGCTCTCAGGAACCACTTGAATCTGTCACATGCTCACCACAGTTACACACCTCCAATCAATTTCACTCACACACATGCAAAGAGAAAGCCAAATAAAAATGTAAAATTATTATTACCAAATACGTTTTGTTCTTCAGAAACTGATGACACTGTTTTGCACTGGTTTGGGGCTTTCTTCGGGCTTACTTGGATGACAAAATAATTCAAAGAGGTTACTTAAATAAAAAGGTTGAAATCCATTGCTCTGTGGAATATACCAGGAAAACCCATAAGGCTGTTTAAACAGTGAAACACTGTAAGCAGTGTTGCTTTTCCTGCCTCATACTACGCATATAAATTGCTCCAATCAGTCATAAACGCTAGAAAAGAATGACATTTGAACACTTTCTAGACAAATATAGATGAAAACCCAGTTTTTCAATTTCATGTCACAGTTTATACAAGTCACTACTGATGGAATTTGTGTGTTTGAGTCATTCTGCAAGATTGTTATTCTGTTGGCATCATTCGTTTTGACAGGACACTTGTTAAAATAAACACTATTTTACATTCACCAGAATAATCCATGACAGTAACAGAATGACAGAGACCCATCGAGTGTAAATGTGATTCTGTCATTTTTGTCATACCTGTCTGTTTTCCTATAACATGTTGAGAAAGGTCAAAGCATGACATTATTGACAACATAAAAAGGAATTGGAAAAACCCCCCAGAAGAAACAGGATTATCATCTGGAGAATGAAGAGGAAAAAGTGAAAGGAGAACAAGTCTGCTTCTAATTACATCTTGAACTGGTGACTTAACTTTTCTTTTTGGCAGTTTTCCCTGCTCCAGCTCCTGCCCAGGACTGTCTTAGAGTCAGGACTAATCAGAGGCACTTGTATGCAGAGGACTCTTGGCCTCTATACGGATTGAGCCAGTTCAGGCCAGCACTGCTGCTCCTTCACTCACTTCTCCGTCTTTTTTCTTCTCCTTTCTTCCCCCTCGCTCTCTCCTCGTTATTCTGTCCTGTCTGTTTAAGTAGAGGAAAGCTTGGGAATTTCCTTCAAGCTGCTTCACCTTAGGATTTACCTTCTGTGGGGATTCAAACATGCACACTGAAGTAGTAGTTCAGTCCATGTTAGTTCCGTTGATCTTGATTTTGCTGTCTGCCGTGGAGGAGACTTTGTTGCAGTCTGTGAGGTGAGTTTCCACTTGAATTACCTCTTATTTATTCTGGCGTTTGTCTGGAGAATATGAAGGAAGTGGGAGGTTCACAAATAGTTGGGACGCTATAAGTAAATGATCAAAGGGGCCTGTGGTTTTAAACTACAATTTATTGTTTAGCATATTATTAACTTAGTGTCATAATGTTAGATACCAGTTTCAGGCTATGTCATTTAATGTTGCTCAATATTTCCTCCTAAGAACTAACTTACAGACAAATAGAAAAGACATTATATTTAGGTTAATACAAAAATGAATTTAAATTGAGTTAACAGTCCTTCTGTAAAGACACTTTCTGAAGTTGTTGTCAACTCGAAAAATCTAAGTGAAATATGAATCCATAGAGAATAATGTTTTTTTTTAACTTGGAGTTTTAAAGATAAAGAAAGATAGATCTTTTTTATTTAAGTGCACCTCAGCTGTAGAGAGGATGTTTACGCTAAGCACGTGTTTCATGTCTGGGTAATGTTTGTACTGTGAACGTCCCACTGTGCAGTGCGTCAACAAACCCACACGTGTTTAACAGTTACAGTTTCTGAGACGTGAAACCACTACACCTTTCCTCTATCTCAGGATAATTTTACCTTTGTATTTGCATTTTGACTTTAGCAATCTTATAGGATAAGTGGTGCCTAAGTTGGGGCTAAAGTTTAGCTACCTCTTCACTTCACCTTTCACCCTTTCTGAGCTAGCTTTAAGTTCATTCCTTGGCTAACATCCAGCTGTACATAAGCTAGCTTTAAGCTATCTTCTTGGTCGACTACGTTTTACTTTGTAAATTTTTATTTGGCTATATTTGCCTGGTTCTGAGCTAACTTTAGGCTATGCTTCTGGCTCAGTTCTGGCTGTCACATTAAGAGCTGAAACCACCTTTCTAATCTGAGCTATTTTGTAGCTAACGTTTAGCTGTTTACAGGCTATTTTGATGGTGCTCAGTTTAGCTAATAGCCTAACTTATAGTCTCTCACATCTTTTTAATATATTTAATTTATTACATAACACTTTTGCTACTGCCAATTATTTGTGGTGGGTCTGATATATTATCAAAAATACTACAGCTACTCATTCAGATTGAGCTGGAAGTTATGAGACAATAATGGATTTCTGATTTTGATTACTGTTTTTCCTGCCATCTTCTCTATTACATAAGTCGTCATATGGCTAAGGCTAAATAGTTCTGCTGATCAAACATCACAGACAGTGAGAGTACAAAAGAATGACTTGAGTTTTGCAAAAATATGAGACCAGGAAATGGTCAAGAGCATCGTGTTTACATGTTCATGTGCTAATGTTGAGTTACCAGACTTAATAAAAGACTAAGCTGTTTCTAAAAACTCATGGAACACTTCCTTCACCTCCCAGTGACACAGACGGCAGTCTGGATTTAATAAAACAATGGGAGTGTCAGGAACTCTTTATCGGTTAATTCTTCTGAATGTTTGATATATGCTGACCGCCTCCAAACTGTGGACATCCTGCCAAGACAAAGAAATTGCAGGAAGAGAAGAATGTCTGGCAGCATCCAAACAAAACAAATCTCACTCAAAGAGCAGAGCAGAGATGTAAAAACTAAGAACTCTGCTCTCTGAAAGATCAATCTGTGTAGTCTGATTTATATTCTTAGTCTTCAACTTTATGTGTTGTGAGATTAAGGAATTTCTACCACAAAAAAAGGGAATTCTTTTCTCAGATGTCATGTTTTGTAGTTCAAACAGCGACAGATGGAAACACACTTCAACCTTTTCCTCATTTGCTCCCAGCCAGGTGGGTGGTGTGTGTAGACTGTCCACAGAGTCATCCCTGCGTCGCTGTCGCACACCTGATGCCAAGATCTGCAGTGGGAGGGGCAAGTGTGACTGTGGCATCTGTATCTGCAGGGCAACTGATCCAGGAAAGTTCTATGGGCCTCTCTGTGAGTGTCACGACTGGGTCTGCCCCTCGCATAATGGAAAACCTTGCAATGGTGGGTACCACAATATACTAAATACATTGCCAAACAACATAAACCACCATTTGTGATAAATATTGAGTAAAATGTCTGTATCTCAGGAAAATCTAAACATCACTTTTTTTCTAATCTCAATTTGAATATTTTTTAATTGTGTGTTAAACCTGTATACATCATCAAACTGTATACAGGTACACAACCTAACAATTTAAAGCTACTAAAGTTCAGTCGAAGGTGATGGGTCTCTAAGTGATGCAACAGGTTTCATTTTTGAGCTCTTACATAAGTGAGTCTTGGCAAATGTACTCCCCAGCTGATGTTCCTGTTAGAGCCAGGTGCTGCTTGGAAAGAAAAGTATAGAACCTCATCCAAGAACCTGCTAAATAAAAAAAAACTTCTATACAGTGGTGCTAATATAGAGAAACTGTTATTTTCTTTATAGTAGTATT